AGAATAATCCGCCGATAACCAGAAACAGTTTTCCAGGTACCGTCCCCTCCAAGAAGAGCATTTAGTGTTCATCTAATCCCTCGATATTAAGGTAGGTGAGCTTCATCCAGGGGGGAACATCCATCTTCTTGCGGACCCCCAGCCTCCACGTACTCTTTCCGGGAGCCGGAGGAGGAACATCCCTTCCCTGAAGCCTCGCGGGGAGCCAGCTTCCACCAGGAAGATGGGGGGAATCATCCAGACTTTATCCAAGGCGTTTTTTTTCTCCCGACGCCAGGACTTCTGGAGGCAAACGCAGCTCGTACCGCAATCGAGAGATCGAGCGGAGTCTCCGCTCCGTCGTTAAGCCACTCAGGTTCAGAATCTCGGGATATCTCGCTCCCCATCATTAACGCCAGCCGCTCGACGAGCACGGACCATACGGAGCAGCACTCTTCCCCACGGATTTATTTCACAGACCGGAGCGGTGCCGGCTATTCTCCTCCTCGCAACGGAGCCCTAATTCTTCGCCGCCGGGCAAGCAGCGGCCGGGCAGCAGGCATTTTCGCGGGATCCGTCTACATTCCCTTCTCCCCAAATACAAAAAAAGAAAAAAAAAAAGAAAAAAAATTCTATTTTAAGCTTTTCCTCAAAGCCAGCAGAAAATACGAGCCAAGCTTTAACAGGTGCAAGACGTAAACCAGGTCGCCGGACTGTGCCGGCTCCCGAGGCGATCGGAAAGGCCGAGTATCCGGGAGTCCGCTCCCACGTGCTTGGCAGCGGTAGAAATAAGAGAAGGAGAAGCAAGAGCTTGGCAAACCCGAGCTGTTAAAAAGTCACCGAAATTCATGGAAACTCCTTTTCAAACACGGAACTACCTCTGGCGATTAAAACAAACAATTCAAAACCCTTCCCATGCACTCCGTCCATCTGCTATTCAGAAAACGAACAGAGAAAAAAAAAAAACAAAAATAAAAATAAAATAAGAGATCCTCCGAAACAGAACTCGCTCTTCAAAGTGGTGAGGACAACACGTGCGTCTGGGGAGGCTCCTGGTTTTTCTTTTTTTTTTCCTTAAATCCCAGGTTATCAGTACAACAAACGTTATTGCTGGCGCTGGCTTCAACCACGTGGCACACGCACGACTCCCTGCACCCCTCCGAGTCCTCTGCACCCCCGTGTCCCCCCCACACCCCCAATTCCTTGTTGTCCCCTTTCCTTTTGACGGCGATTCGGGGACAGCCCTTCCCGGTTTGTCAGTCACAGTGGGTGGAGAGGGGAGATGATCACAGTGCGCGGGGTTGAAGGTCACAGTGGGCAGAGCAAAGGGGAAACAAAACCAAAAACCCCCCAAAAAATAAAAATCACAGTGCAAATAAACCGAGTAGTTCCCTTTGCTCGAGTCCGTGGGCCCGCCGCGGCGACGCCGGCGGACCCTGCCTTCCGCAGCGGCATCTCCCGCCCGCGTTTATCTGCGCTGCTTGAAGCCCTGTGAGCCATCGGGACCCAGCGGTTGTCTGATCACATTGTTGGGTTGTCTGGTGTCGTCCGGCTGCGAGATCCTCGGCGGCCTGCCGGGAGGGAGAAACGAGATCAGAGGAGGCAGCGGGATGGCTGCGTCGTGCTGGACGCCTTTGAGAAACCGGCCACGGCCTGCTGCCACGATGGGCAAGCGTTGCTCTCTGGGATGGGGAACCCAAATTAAACTTTTTTTTTTTCCCCCAAAGATTTGGGAGTCTCCTTCTCCGGTAGCCACGACCCGCCTTGCAATGACAGAGAGAGCACAGTGCCTTCAAATCCCCTCAAATCAAGAACCTCCGCAAAAACACGGATACATCCCGCCAGGATAACATGGCTGCCCATGCCCTCTTCCAGGATAACCTTTGTGGCCTTACCAGGCACTCATGCTTCCCTTAACTCCCATATTTTTGGGATTTATGATGCCTCGCTGGCTAACAAAGTGCTCCTTTCTCCTCGCCGGCCTCACTTTACTCCTCAAGGAGCTCATCCCTCTCCTTCCGATAGGAAGGTGTTCGCACGGAGCGCGCACAGACACCGTGGCACAGAAGGCCACACTCTTCCCTAAAAAAATGGAGTTTCTCACCTATCCAGAATGGGTTTCTCCTGCTCTTCTTCGGGGCTCGCGCTGCCCAGTATTCGCTTCCTGGCTTCCGCGTATTCCGCCTCCCTCTGCGCCAAGGATTTGACGGGGAAGGCCGGCCTGCTGGCGGAGTTGGGATTGCTGAGCACGCCGTTGGTCGTCGGCCTCTTCAAGATGCGGATCTGCGGGGGAGGACCTGTGGGAAGGCTGTCGTCCTGAATCACGATCGGCACTTTAGGAGGAGATTTTGACTTTCTACTGTTAAAAAAAACAGAAAGAAAGAAAGAAAACATTTGGTCGGTACTTGTCTGCTACAGCGAGCGTGCTTTTTGCTCGGCGTGTGAATTCCTCCCGGTCGGATGTCATTCCTGTGATGAAGAGGCAGCCTGTAATAATTAAAGACCTTGTTGTGTTTGTTACCCTGAACTGGAGAGGCAGGCGGGTTTGCAGGAGGTTGGCTCAGCACGGACAGCAAACCAGTCCCCGCTGCCTTCGGCGTCTTTAAACTCCCCCAAAGCAAAGGGAAGCACACACTGGGCAAAAGTTTTAGCCCTTTTATTCGAAGATATCGGTATAAGCACCTCGATTCCATTCCCTGCAAAGACTTTTAGGGGTGCTCTTGCCGGGATACCCGGCTTTCCGCTTCAAATCCTGCCATTTCACTTCTCTTGGACCCTGTCTCATCACTTGACATTTTTTTAATGGGCCCTTCTCTGTGCACAAGTCCCAGAGAGTAACACCACGACTCTAAGTGGTCTACCAAGAATCAAAGCAGGAAAAAAAAACACCCAACAAACCAACAAGAGACTTGTCAGGAGCGATTAAAAATGATTCTCCTGGAAGACAATAACAAACACACCCCTGCCCCAGCCTAAAGTAAGCAGGAAAAGAAATTCTTACTGATGCAAGACCTGACAAGCCACTGTAGTGAGCGGGATGGCCTGACTCACCCATTTCTTCCTCTGAGTGTCTTTTTCTTACATGGCTTCCCCAGAGCCGTGGCTACATCCAGTCTGGAAGACCCGGCTCTGAAATAAAATCACTCTCAAGAAGCTTTCCACTA